GTGATTTCAAGTTTCTCAGGATTTTATAGTATAGTGGTTTAGAGCAGAAGCTAGCAAATTGCAACGTTCTAGACATCCAGCCCACTGCCCATTTTTGCAAATAAAGTTTTATTGGAACACATACTCATTAACTAATATATTCTCTGTCATTGCTTTTGTACTATAATAACAGAGTTGATTAGCTGTGACAGAGACCATATGGCCCACAAAGCCTAAAATACTTACTCTCTGGCCCTTTACAGAAAAATTTTGCTGATCTCTGGTTTACAGCATGAGAATTGGACTTTGTATCACAACCTTTAACATTTACCAGCTATTTGATCCGCAGGCTTGCTGTGAAGGTCAAATGATAGGATAAGAATGAACTATTTTTGGAACCATACAGCATGAATATGGAGTATTTTTATTGCTATTACTTTTGCCGTAACTTAGAATATGTTGTGATTTGCCTCTAACTGGATAAGTATTTCTCATAACCAAACAAAAAGAAATTAGAAACGGTGTGGTGTTATGTAGATGTTATTGCATTCTTTTTATAAAGGTGTAGAGATATGTGTGCATATGTGAGGTGCTGTAGAAATGAACTTCACTAAGCAAATACCTAGCGTAAGCTTAGAAAAATAGAGAAAACTTTCCCTTTGTAAGCTCTTATGTGGAACACTGTGACTGCAACATAGACACAGGTCAGTGTGTACCAGCACATCCTTGCTTGTTTGTTCAAAATGTCTCTCTTAAGATGATTTTTGAAAGTGAAGAAGTTGATGCTGCCATTTCTAGTCATGAAATGATTTCTCTGTGCTTCCGCAGAGCCAAATTTGGGAAAATAGAATGTCAAAGACGGTTTATCATTATGGATAAAATAAGTGAAAGGCCACTGTTAAAACACACACAGAACAACAACAACAAACAAGGCTGATTACACACAGATAGCTCAGAGATGGTGGTAAAGGGAGCCTCCCCCCCCCTTTTTTAAGATTTATTTATTTATTTATTTATTTGACAGGGAGAGACGGTGAGAGAGGGAACACAAGCAGGGGGAGTGGGAGAGGGAGAAGCAGGCTTCCCGCCCAGCAGGGAGCCCGATGAGGGGATCGATCCCAGGATCCTGGGATCATGACCTAAGCCGAAGGCAGACGCTTAATGACTGAGCCACCCAGGCACCTCAGGGGATCCCCCTTTCTAACCAACTCTCCCAGCCAGGGGTATTTGGAAAGAAGAAAGTTATGGCCCATCAGGAAATTTTGCTTCCTATCCCTTCTGGGACATTATTAAATTTTCTTCTAGGAGGGAGACCCCAGTAGGCTACAGATTGTTACCTCCACTGTTTGTGCAGTGAAAACAGTGAGTAGGATGGGGGGTGTTTAAGGAGCCTGGCATTCTGCAGAGCATCAGGGCCTCTTTAATTAGAGAGAGGCCTTCAGGGAAGATGAACAATGTTTCCTTTGTTAGAACAACACAGTGTCTTTCAAAACCATATATTTTTTTTAAACTGGGTGTATTTGCTCACCACCATGATGAGAAACACAGTTTAGATGATGCATAAGAATTTGAACAGGAGATGTTTGCTTTAAAAATTATAACAAATAGTGATACAGGCTTTAAAACTCAGGAGTTACAATGAGAGTGTTGTAAAAAGTTTACTCTAACTTTGAAATGTGCTGATAAACGAGTTATACCAGCTTGAGGGGAACTATAACACACATGGGTACTTAGGATATGAAAATGGAATCAAAACTATTCTGACAGGAGAGGTAAATTTTATGACAATGGATTTTTAGTTGCCTTTTTTCCTTTCTTGGGCATCTTGCATTCTAAGTACACTCATGAAACAGTAAAATGATATAGACTGTGAAAACTTTTCAACTTCTAGGAATTTCATTGACTCAGGCAAGGATATTAAGAGGGCTTGTTGTTTCCAAGTATCTTAGTGATGAAAACAACATCATCCGAGAAATTTTATTTTCTAGGGTAAATGGTCTGATGTGGCTGCTCAATAGTATAATAATACTTTAATGAAGGCTCTTCTTTAAGATAAGTTGCCTACGGGTCAGGACCAGTTGTTGAAATTCTGCCTGGGTCTCTGTACCTATAAAATGCCTTTTGAAAAAATAAAAAAAATAAAATAAAGTAAAATGCCTTTTGTTGGGGTACCTGACTGGCTCAGTCGATAGAGCATGTGACTCTTGAGCTCAGGTTCATGAGTTCAAGCTCCACATTGGACATAAAGCGTACATAAAAAAGAACAGCAACAACAAAGAATAAAATGTCTTTTGTATTTTTTTCTCCAATGTGGTTTTATTATATGCAATGCCAGATTACCCAATAGGCAAACTTTGTATTTTACAAGCATCAACAAAACAGGGGTATCAAAAAAAAAAAAAACAATTTGGGGTGGGCAAGAAGTTGATAGTATATGTGTGTGTGTACGTGCATATGTGTATATATATTTATATGTATATCTGTCTATCTGTTTCTTCATGTATAGGGTACATATTTTGATTTCTTACATATTCTTATATTTCTATTTCTTAATATATATTTCATATGTATGTATTTTTTGTTAAGGACCAAGCTAATTTCCATGAGAAACACAAACGAGAACTTTGTTGGACCTCCTTATAGCTACTTTGTGTTTTGGTATGGTTTCTCTGCTAAGTTATTATTGAGGGAGGGTACTATTTGATATTTCCAATCAGGACTTGACTTTGTCTTACATCATACTAGGTCTTTCAGAGGAAATCAAGGAAAGGAAAGACACAGTCCTTTTCCACAAGGAGTCTGTGACTTACACAAGCAGGAGACATCACTCAGGAAACAATTAGAGACTTGACCAGTATATTATAACTAGTAGTTATAATTGTGTGTATTTGATGTTTTATCTGGTTTGATTCATTGTTAACTCTTGTGTTAACAGAGTCCTTTATTATATTGTTAAATACCCATTTGTTTGAAATATAGGTAATTTGCTGATTAAATGCAACAGGAGATAATCCACCACACCTCATGCAGATGATCAGAGAGCAACTCTCCATAATTGATGTCTGCCCAGCTGTCGCCCAGTAGACTGATGACTATGGGAATAAGCCACATGGGGACCCAACTAACTGGAACCTTCAAATGATTGGATTTTTTCCCCTTGAGCTTTTGTTTGATGAAGAAGAAACAATGCTGGGACATCTGAGTGGCTGAGTTGGTTAAGTGTCTGACTCTTGATCTTGGCTCGGGTCATGATTTCAGGGTCGTGGGACCAAGTCCTGAATCAGGCTCCATACTCAGCAGATAGTCTGCTTGGGATTCTCTCCCTCCCTCCCCCACTCCCCCTCCCCCTGCTTGCTCTCTCTCTCTCTCAAATAAATAAATTAAAAAAGAAAAAGAAACAATGCTAAGATGGTAACCAATAAGAGGAATTTTTTTGAGTTCTTGAGCATGATTTTGGATCAGTATATATTAAGTCCAGTTTCCTACTCACTTCCATCTATAGTTCTGCTTAGTGAAAACTGTTATTGCTAAGAATGACATTGGAAAATACCAGCCTTTAAATAAATATCAATTCTGTTTTCAGTATTACTCTTATAAAGTGGACAAGCACATTCAGAAACATTTTTTAATTATAAGATTTGAGGCAAAAGAGTTTTCTATATAACTTAGTTCATTTTACCGAAACCACAGTTTTACTTATCATTATCGAGGTAATTAAGTTTGTGTATGGAGATGTGCTCTGTGATCTGATATTTTTCTCAAGGTCTCTAAGAATGGCAAAATCTCTAAACAGGCCTATCAAAGAGATTCATCATCAAAGCTCAATATCAAGAAGAGGCGCCTGGGTGGCTGAGTAGGTTAAGCGACAGACTCTTCACTTTGCCTCAGGTCCTGATCTCAGGGTTATTATGATCTCAGGATCGTGAGATCAAGCCCCATGGGGAGCCCCATGGGGAGTTTCGCAGTGGGCTCCGTGCTCAGTTGGGTGTCTGCTTCTTGCCCTCTGCCCTTCCCCCCACTCTCTATCTCCCTCTCAAATAAGGAAATAGATCTTTTTTAAAAAAAAGAAAAACTTAATTCAAAGAATACCTCTACCACGAAATGAATCAGAATTATAATAAAGACTGCAGGAGTTTGGAAGGGGAGTTGAATGCTACAGGTATCATAAGGCCAGGAACTGTGTTTGCCTTGTTCAGGGCTACATGTCTAACCCCTTGCATACAGTGGGCACTTGGGTGAGTTTGTCAAATATTTCCTATTATGAGGATCTTCATATAGATTATAGCTTTTGAATTAGGCATTTACAGATGAGTTGAATTTCTACCGCTGAAGAGGAGAGGGAAGACCATCCAGGTGGTGGAAAGCATGTGAAACAATGCTAAGATGGAAAGAAAAGTCATGGGAAAGGAAAGGGCGGGATAAAATACTGTACAGAGTTGGATGAAGTCATTTAATAGATTATCCTTATGTTTTATCTCATGCTTAGACTTGGTGATGGTTTGAGAGAAAGATGTTTTATGTTTGTGCTTTTATTCTTTCACATATCATTCTCACTCCCTGCTCCCAACACACACACTGTGGATTCGGAGAAAGAGCATTGCTTATTGATAAGGGTAGGCATGGGTTTTAGCCTTCAAGCATTCTGAAAAAAAATTATAACTGGGCACATTCACTCTAGGGTGCAGAGCTAAAGAAAGCTTTGCAGGATTCCAGAAGTATTTCATTTGACAGCATGTCTTCACTTTTATTCAAGATGAAACCTTGGTGAAATCTCATTATTTTGCTACTTCAAATCCGTAAAGAAGTTACTTGAAGTGCCCTCAAGAACACTCGCATGGTGATTGTTAGGACGGCTGGGTTAGAGCAGAGGTCACTGGTCCTATATCCCCTGCGGAAATGCCGTCCCAAATGCATCATTTTGCTGAGTGTCCCTGCTCAGTGCCAATGCTGGTTTGCCTTCTGAATAGGCCTGCTTCCTAGAAATTACCCTTCAGGTGACCCCACGGCACCCCACACATTACATGTTTAGTGATGTCACTCCCGTTCCCCGGCTGCAGACAAGAGACGCCTTAGAAAAGGAGGAAGTTTACACTGAAGGGAAATGGGAAGTGTTTATTTTCTGTCTCTTGTCAGAAGCTCAATGCCAGACACACATTTCAGGGCCCAGTGCACTGAACATGCACACGCACATGGACATTGGGGTGAGTGTAGAGAATCCAAGGGGAATGTGGGACCATAAAGAGACTGGAAGATAAGAGTTGTGTGTCATGAAAGAGCTTTAATTTGTTGCAAGGGAAATGCCAGGCTTCACATAAAGGAGGATTTTGGAAAGACTAGAAGTACTGGGGCTGAGGATTCCTAAAGAATGTTGTAAAATTTCCCTTTCAAATACGATGGGTTCTCACCTTTCTGAGCTGGGCTAAGTTAGCACTGTCTTCCCTGAAAACCGAGGAATAATTCAAATGCCCACTGAAGACATCTGCACGGTGGCCAGGTCTGTGTGACTGCTTCATAGCATTCAAACATAGATACAGCGATTCTGCAAATCAAGGGCCCTGCCAGACTTCTTTTCTCTAATTCTTTCCTGGGCTTGATAGTGAATATTTGGGTTTGCTGAAATAGAAAGGAAAAAAAGTGTAATTCAGAAGAACAGTTAGCCAGTGATATGAGCACCTTGAATGTTTAACTGAGCATTAGTTACTTATCAGTAATTCAAACACCATTCTCTACATGACTAAAACTTTAGCAAAATTTATGTAATCTCTGGCCATGAGAAAGATAGGAAGTGTGTGTGTGTGTGTGTGTGTACTGGAAAAAACATAAAGAAAGTAAAAGATTGTTTTTTAAGTCAATGGGTAAATATTTCATTTTAAAGCATAAAGTCTTTTTTTTTTAAAAAGTTTTTATTTATTTGAGAGAGAGAATGAAAGAGAGCACGAGAGGGAAGAGGGTCAGAGGGAGAGGCAGACTCCCTGCTGAGCAGGGAGCCTGATGCGGGACTCGATCCCGGGACTCCAGGATCATGACCTGAGCCAAAGGCAGTCGCTTAACCAACTGAGCCACCCAGGCGCCCCTTAAAGCATAAAGTCTTAATGGCATTTGATGTCAGGGGCTGGAGAATAACAAATATTTTGAACCTGTGTCTACTTTAGAATTACTTATTATCATTATTGTTTTTATGAACTCCACTTACTAAAAAATGGAAGCAGCTCACATTCATTCAACAAACACTACTGAATGCCTCGCATGCTCTTCCAACGGTTGCCTAAATTTTTTGAAACTAGGTACCGAGTACCACATCAGCTAAAATTCATCATGGCACATACAGTGACTGATTACTAGCAGGGGACAATTCTCACTTGGTCTCTTAAGTTTCTGTGTTGTCTTGCAAATGGACAGAATGCCTTTCTTCTGGATTATCTTTTTAAGGATGTTTATATAGTTCCTGGTCTTGGAAGAGAAAAATATTATTTCCTTCAGGAGCAACGGGCCGGCATGCTTATTGCCCAGTATAAAAGATTTGAGTTCTCTAGCTCAAGGTTCTTCTCTGAAACACAACTGACTGCGGATGCAAGTGTGTGGTCTTCTTCAAGTTTTGTTGTGGGAATTGGGGCTTGAGGAGTGGGTGCAAACGCTGATGCTCTCTGCCTGTGAGTAATTCCGTGAGTAATGAATAGCCCTAGGACTGGAGGTAATAAACAGTCCTGTATCTCTGGCGCTGGCGTCTTGGGCTTTAGCCAGCAGTCATAAAGTGTGCAGATAAATTCTTAGTTTGCATGTAGGCTAAAATTTCAGGCTCTTCACAAATCTGGTCAATTGCTTTGAGTATTTACATTTTATTCAGACAAATACTTGAGACAAACTTGTACTTTCTTAAGGTAAAAGATCTCTCTTGGTCTTTAATTCTCTGTTGAATTTAAACTGAAAAACTTGCCCAGGGAAAAGGAGTAAAGGAGATTGTATAAGAAGGAAGAGGTAAAATGAGGTGATGGAAATACCAAAAGTAGTGAAAAAAGAAAAACAAGTCAAAGAAAAGGGCAGGACATAGATATCAAACATTTGTATGTGTTTAGACAATTTTTAAATCTGGGGTTCGTCCAACGTCTGTGCTGCTAGACATACTTTTGTTGAAAATACAGAGAAGCTATGGGACACCTGGGTGGCTCAGTCAGTTGAGCGCCCACTTGATTTTGGCTCTGGTTGTGATCTTGGGGTTCTGGGTCAAGCCTCAGGCTCCGCACTCAGTGGGGAGTCTGCTTGTCCCTCTTTTTCTGCCCCCTATTCCCACTTGCCATGCACACGAGGGCATGCGCGTGCTCTCTCTCAAATAAATAAATAAAATCTATAAAAAATGAAAATATAGAGAAGCTAGTTTATCAAGAGAGAGGTGGCTTACTATTTTTCATCCATTTTTAAATGGCAAATCTTTATTCGCCATTCAAAAATGGAGAAAGCGGTGAGTAACTCATTTACAATGTAAGCTGTTGAAAGATGAAGGAAGTGGCATTTTTCTGGTGTCCAAATCATGTGATGCTTGTCCTAAATACTGCTGCACTCACCACTTGGAAGAGAAGACTAATCCTATTTGGAATATGCCATTATGTAGTGTGTAACTTCTTACTATTTCTTAATTAGAGAGGTATCAGTAAAAACTGCACATTCAGCTATTTAAATATTTGATACCTTTGAAAACCCGTATCTCTTCATCTATTAGGCAAAATGGATTTATTTATAAGATCCTATTCATTTCATTAAATGAAAATAAAGATAAAATAAAGTGGAATGGACTGAAAAAATCACAGCCTAAGTCAGCGAGTCATTTTTAATGAGAATAAATATTGGATAAACATAGTGCAATGTGACTGATTAAAAAACACTGTATAGAGTGATTTTTAAAAATCATGATGGAAATAAGGCTGCTTCCCCTTAAAAGAAAAGCATCACTGATTTCCTAATCAACTGAGAACACCCACAGGGGTAATTACAGGCCACTCTTTTCATTAAACATGGTCTGCAAAATCCATCTAAATCAAGTAACCACCCTGTTGATTAAAAAACAAAAAAGCAAATCACTAAAATAATCTGATACATTCCTTATAAAGGAAATATGAGATGATCTGAGAATATCATATGTGGTGGAGGAATTAATAATACATCCAAAATTCTCTTCTCAAAATCTTTGAGTGGTGTCCAAAATGGTAGAACAATCTGATTTTCAATTTTATAAATTTGTGGTTGCTTCTCACCTGGTGTTCTTAGTTATCTCTTCAGAGTTGCTGTATTTCTTGGCTTGGGGCACAGAGCGGTGCAGGATGCGAAGAAAAAAAGAAAGCCAGGAAGCTTGTGATCTATTTGGGAAGTAAGGCCAAAAATAAAAGGCAAAACAAAGATTTAGGTAATAGGACAAGTTAATGCTAGAAGGAATGCCATCAGATAGGATGTCATGAATTGACAAAGAATTTTGCAAATGGTAACGGCTGGAATTCAAATAGGGGAAACTGCACTAGACTAGGGTGGTCTGAAAAGACATCAAGGACCAAATGGGATTTGATCCAGGCCTGAAGGATGAAATATGGCTCAGTGAAGAGGGCAAAGATGAAGACTGATTGGCAAACTACCGTTGGGCCAAATCTGACCTCCAGACTGTTTTTGTACACCTTCAGAACCAAGAATAGATTGTGCATTTTTAGATGTTGAGAAAAACAAAGAATATTTCATAACACTGAAAATTATATGAAATTTAAATGTCAGCATCCATAAATAAATGTTATTGGCACACAGCCACTCTCTATTTGTTGATATGTTTGGCTGCTTTTGTGCTAGGATGGCAGAGTTGAGGAGTTAAAACAGACACTTAATGGCCCACAAAATCTGAAACATTCACTGTCTAGATCTTTACTGACAAAGTTTGCTGAATCCTGGGGTCAGAGACTACTAGGCAATAATGGTGGAAAGAGATGTTGGCTGGCCTGTAATAAACCAAGCTGTGGAGATAAAGAGGAACCACTGAAGGTTTTGCTTATAGGAGGAAGCCACACTCTCTGTTTCCTAAACATATCACCTGAGCTTGCAAATGTTTGTTAAATCAACAAATGAACAAAATTTTTTAGATTCCTAAGTGCTCTGTTGCTTTCTACTTGTTTTTTTTTTTTTTTTAAGATTTTTATTTATCTATTTAAGAGAGGGAGAGAGAGAGAGAGAAGAGAGAGAGCACAAGCAGGGTGAGGCAGACGTCCCATTGAGCAGGAATCCTGATGTGGGGTCCACCCTGGGTCTCCCAGGATCATGATCTGAGCCGAAGGCAGATGCCCAACTGACTGAACCACCCAGGCGCCCTCTACTTGTTGCTCTTGAAAAGAAGGAAGGGCTTTTCTGTATGGGATGTGGCCCTTGACTCTCTGGGGTTGTCCCTCCTAACTTCACAGTGGTGTGCTGTGAGCAGCTCTCACAGACTTTGACAGTGTTGGACACAAAACAACACCTTGTGTTTGGGGACTTCTCCAAGAGTACATGTAGATGACCTCTCCTTGCATCATTCTTCTTTGGATTGCAGGGCGTTGCTCTTCTCCTACCTTTCCTCCAATAGCCAGACATAGCTACAGAAAAACTGAAGGGTTTGTGTTAACACAAGGAATTCGCAAAAAAAAAATCCTAGCTCTTTCCAGAGGGTTTGTGAGAGCCAAATCATTAGAGAAAAAATGGTTCAGGCAAAACGAACCGCAGAAGGAGGCCAACTGTGAGACCCCGTCCTGTGGGTGTTCCCATCAGATCCACCACGGATGCATTTCAAATACTAGATTTCCACTCTAATATTTTACGACAGTATATCATCAGCCCTCACAAAGAGGTGAAATCTAAGAAGAGCATACAGAAATACACATGGGAAGAACCTCCCGATAAAAAGAAAACAAACTCTGAGAAATGTGGTTAAGAAATATCGGACTCAATTAATAATGGAGCCTTCAATGGCCTTAGAGAAATCCAATACAAATCAAATTCCAACTACCTGCCAGTGCTTCCGGCCATATTTACTTTCAATTGATTATATTTTTAAAAGATCTTAGGGGGAAATTGTTTAGAGAAAAACAAATCTGGTTAAAACCTAGAACATTAAAGAACATTAATTTCAGATTTTTTCTTAATGAGAAACAGATTTTTTTTCCCTTTTTGGTTCATTTGAAAAAAAAAATGGAGAAAAGATAAGAACTTCCAAAAGGGAGAGTAGAACTGAGATGAAGTTGAGAGAGAACATTAAGGGAGAAGGAGAAAATATATAGTATTTTAAAAATGCAGTCCTAAAGCATGAGTAACTTGTTTTGGAGTTCATCCCAGATAAATACGAGTATAGTCAGGGATAATGATCATTTCTGGGTTAGAATTGTGTAAAGCTTTAAAAAAGCAGTAAGCTCAAATCTTGGGAATGTAAAACGGATGACATTTTAGAATGATCTGCTATTCAAAATGGAGGGAAATGAAGCTTAACCCACATGTCAATATATTCCCATAAATATATATCTAAAAGGGCACATTCATAGACATACTTGGACACAGATATCAATATAGACAAGCACATGGACACTGACAGGACAGGCATGTGCTTTAGGATATGAAAAAGTTCTTAGGTCATTGCACTGTAATAGTGCAATGGTTTCTAGAAAAAAAAAACATTTCGTATTCTGGCTCAGAATGTAAAAAAAAAAAAAATGACTTTCCCATAACATTGTATAATGGATCTTCCAGTCACACTCTCCTATGGAAGCATAATTTATGTAGTGGATGACAAGAAGAGTTTTATGATATCTGGAATTCATTTAAGATCTTTAGATGGGAAAAATTGAGATCCAATTAAAACCTTAATAAGTGACTCTGTGTTGAATATAAATAAATTAATTGTGTGCAAGATGAAATTGGAAAAGTTTGGGAGTCTTCATTTTAATTCTATTTCTATCAGGAAACTGTATAACTCTGAGAATTACTTCATAATGGGGCTGTTTACCATGAAGCAAAACTGAATTTAAATAGGACATTTTAGCCCGTGACTGGTCATAAATCATGAGGTCTCAGCCTTAAAGCACGTTGAGATCTCATTGGTGAAAGGCCTGTGAGGAGAGGGAAGATGGACCAATTGGAGCCAAGAAGGGCCTTAGGGAGACCCAGGTCGCGATAAGACCAGCCCCCAACGATCTTGCCATGAGGGGAAGCGAGGGCAGGCAGGTTGCTATATGGCAGGCTCCATTTTGTAGGTGAGATACAATAATGAGAGTCTTTGGTGGGAGGTAGTTCTAATGGTCAGAGGGTGTTAACAGCTTGGTTGTATGGGAGATCTGGATGGGATGTACAGTGTCTTTGTTAAAGGACCCTGGGGCTGAGGGCTGATAGATACAAAGTGAGTGTACCTATCCTGTACACTCAGATAGACAGAGAATGTCTATCTCCTACATATTTACATACTTGCCCTAGGTTTTGTATCCTAGTATGTATCTTAGGGGGAATACATACTTACCCTAGGTTTTCTGACTACTAAACTTAAGAGAAGAGACTAAATCTGAATGGTGCTGAGAGATTGGCTCCTAACATACTGGGCAGCTGAGTGTAGCAGTGAAGATGGCAGACCTGAAAGTCAAAACTACCCAAATTCAAATCCCTGTTCTCCCACTGACCAGCTGGGGATGACAACATCCATATCAATGTTGTAAGGATCAAATGGGTTATTGTATATAATTGCAAGGTGCATCCAGTTTGTCATCTTTGGAAATAGGTTTTTGGCTTACGTCACGTAACTTGAGACTTGGAAAATTGTGCTACATCCATGGGCTAGACTAAGCTATTATTTTTTAAAGATTTTATTTATTTATTCATGAAAGACAGAGAGAGAGAGAGAGAGAGAGAGAAGCAGGTTCCCAAGGAGCAGGCAGCCCGATGTGGGACTTGATCCCAGGACCCTGGGATCATGACCTGAGCCGAAGGCAGACGCTTAACCATCTGAACCACCCAGGCGCCCTAGACTAAGCTATTCTTGTAGTTTGGCAAGTTGTAAAAAAAAAAAAAAAAAAAGATCCTGGCCATACCCTCCCTCATCTTCCTACAAATCTGGCTGCACCTTCATTCCCTAGTAGGTTCAGAACGTGTTTTTATTTCCATCCAATGCTTTTTCCCATCCAATTGCTGTCCATCTGAGATAGTGATTGTTATTGTTTTGTAAAACTTCTGCCCAGATTTATAAAACTTCAGTGCAGATTTATTGTAGAATCTACTGAGTTTGTTTTTAGGTTGTTATAAATTGCCTTAATTCCTATCTCTGTTTAGGCATAACTGGGGATGCCAATAAAAAAACAACATTTTGGGAAGTATGGATATGGGTGAGTGATAGTTTAATTGAGAAGGCCATACCGAGACTTGATGGAGCTGGCAAAGTCCTCATTATGCCCTCACTTGGCTATACCCAAGTCACAAGATGCTAAGTGTTTGCCTCATCAATGTTTATCTTTCTGAGACATTCAAGGTGAATGGCAATCGCCCTATTCATCCTCTCCTACAAGCTATCTTTAGTCAAAAAATCCACCCCCGCCCCGCTCCCGATAAAGAGCTACCATTTTGAGAGTGTTCATAGTGCCAGGAATTGAGGTGAGTGGACTTACAAGCATCATCTCATTTAATTCTCACAAGGATAAATACTCCTATGTAAAATAAAGGTTAAAGAGAGGTTAAGAAACTTGAACAAGGCCACCCACTAAGGAAATGCGCAGCAAGGTTGCTCACTAGAGTCAGCTGTGTTGTCACCCAGACCTGCAGAATTCCTGGCGAGAGAATGATGTGCTCTGCCCACCCTTGCCCCTCTCACCTGCCACCCTGCCAGGCTCCATCTCTCTTTCCTTAGAGCTTTGCTTCTACTTTGGTTAAGGACCTTACCATGTTATATTATCATCTATCTCTTATTTTTCCCACTTGACTGAATTTGAGATGATGTTAGAGACCATGAAAATCATTCTCTCATTCCTGATGGGTCCTGTAGTACCTCAGTAAAGTTTTTTTTCCCCCCTCCAGTTAGTGGTAGCTCAAAGAAGGTTTATCTTCTAGTAGCAGCTCAGTAAATGTTTGTTGAATTCATAAATGAATAAAATACCGAGTTTTTTCTGGTTTACTAAAGATCATGAGCTAAAGCAGTGGTTTAAAATATACAGTCCTAAAAAAAATATGCAATCCTGGTCAACCAAATAGAGGATACTCTTACTGAACTTACTGATCAAAGAGTTCTTACTGAAAATATCGCAGATCTCTGAAGCACACGGGTGGGCTGGAGGAAGGAGTGGGAGAGCAGGGAGTGGTCCCTTAGGGAGACTGCAAGGAGGGACTTTCCCTGGGAACAGGTAGTCCGTCCACTCTCAGTGTTTGCAGCACTTTTCCTGTGGTTCCTCCTGTTCTCTCAGGATTCTGAATGTTCTCACCAAGAAAACACCAAATCCCTTGAAAGCCTGGTTTCTGCCTTGTGGTTTGTGAGCCAATCTCATGACGTCACAGCCACCAGCAGCCCACAGTGCTTTTCCTGACTCCATGTAGGCACACCAGACAGGGCTTCTAGCAAGTGAAAGCTCTTTTGGGTAAATATTTTGGGCCTGGTTTTAGATTTCTCTGACAGACCAAGTGGTGGAAATCTGTGTATATATACAGAATGCTCTCTCTCTCCCTTCCTCTGCTATGTGTGTGATGTCACTTTCCTCAGAGAAATAACTCTGTTTCTCTTAGCCAGTTCCTCGCTTGGGAATTGGGCTTTCCTTGTTGATTTTCACTCCAAAAGGGCTGCTAAAGAGGGGTGGAAAGGACCCAAAACATATCTTCTTCCAGGCTGCCTGCCTCTTAAAGCTGCTCTATCACCCTTTGTTTTATCACCAGAAACTTCAGGTTGGATGGTGAAGAATGGCCTTTCTGGATTTCCAAGCTTTACAGGAAAGTTTAGATTTAACCTTGTTACTTAAGTTGCAACAAAGTTCATTCAAATTCTAAACTTGTAGCGGGGGAAGAACAAAGTCCTGTGCTTGTGGGCACAAACATAATTTATATACATATATAATCAATGTATATATATGAGAATATATTAAATTTTCATATACATTCTATTTACTGTATTTTTATGTATACACACCTTTTTTATAAACGCACAAGCTGAAAGCAAGAAAGCAATGCATACATGTCTGTGTATGCGTACCTACACACAAAACATACAGCATGAGTTTCCTGGCATCTTTTGATAGGTATTTGTGCTCCCTTATTAGTGGCGAATAATTAATTTTAGATGAGCCCATCACAGCAGTTTTAAGCGGAGCGAAGGCTCTATCGTTAAACAGCCCAGAGAGAATTTCATCTGCTACTTTTGAAGAATCCTTTGATGCGCCCAAAGCCTGTAGAAGGGTGATTCCAAAACCACTTAACTTTTTTTTAAAAACTGTTAAATGTCTGCAAGGGGTTCTCTGATCTGCTAGAGGAGACCGAATCGAGGAGAAGAAAGGCCGCTTTCTCTCCCCAGCAGGACCCAGATCCCTGCCTGTTGCCGAGCAGATTTCGTATACGTTGAACCACAGAACGTTTATTGAGGGGCGGGCGGGGTTGGGGGGAAGAAGAGAGGGAGAGGCAGAGAAAAGAAAAAGTAGCAAGCATCCAGGGGCAGCCGCGGGAGACCGGGACGGCACGTAATCCGGGGGCGGGGCCTCGGGGGCCGCTAGCCAGTGGACGGGCACGGGGGCGGGGCCGCGGCGCGGGGGGCGGGGCCTGTGCCCGCGCAGCTCGCACGGCGGTCCCCTTATTTGGATCTGCGGGAATGTGGGCTGGAGCGGTCCTGCAGCGGTACCAGCCTCCAGCCTGTCGCCGGGACTGCCCCTGACCCAGGCGCGCCCGCTGCTTGGTGGCAGAAGGGCCGGCGGAACGCCATGGCCTGCATCCTGAAGGTAACGACTGGGATCTGTGGCTCGGACGCGTGGTTGGCCAGCCCCTTGCTGCTAAGAGGCAAGGAGTCAGCCGCGGTCCCACCGCATCCTCATCTCAGTTGTCTTTCCCTGGCATTGATTTTCTTTTTGTTCCTTTGGCAAATGCATATGGAGGGAGATTCTGAAACATGCAGCTGGCACAGCTTCTCTTCCCACCATTCCTGCCTGCTCGCGCCTGCATTGAAGGAGCTGCAGACTGTTGGCTCCAGGGAAGAGTAGGGCTGTGTGCCGAATAATGGGGATGGCAGGGAGGGGAGGGGTGCTCCCGCGGGTCCCGCGGCTCCGTTGCCTGAGGCCTTTCAGGGGCTAAGGAGAATGGAGAAGAGTCTGGGCATGGGTTACTGGTGGTAGAGGATATAGCACTTCGAATGGGGGTGAGAGTGAGCAGAGGGGGGGTTCTATTGAACATTTGATCTCGTGAAGACAGAAACTTCTGAGTTTACAGGTAGTGCCTTAGGAATGAGTTTTCCGTGAGATCTGCTGGCTTTATGTGCCATTAACCTAACTTTGGAAAAGTTCACAGAAGGATGTTTTTATTAGCAGAGAATCTGTGACCCTTCTTAAGCTCATAAATTTGAACAGACCCAGTGATTTCACTCCATATTAGAGTCCGCTGGACCACCCCTTCTTTGTTGAGTTTTCTTTCTCCAAGTCTGGTTTCTTAGCCTGGACCAAGCATCGTTCTGGGTTTACAGCTTTGTGGTGTCAGGTGGAAGGACGTGGGGTCAGTGCCTCACTTGAGAACTTCTCATTCCGCAGGGAGAGGTGTTTTGTTTGTTTTTTGTTTTCATTTTTCTCACTCCTGTCTCTCCTCGCGCCTAACCTGCCTGACTCCTGACTGCCTGAATCATAAACATTCAGGGCCTAAAGGTTTCCTGGGCCTTGACTGGAGAATGCAAAGGCCTGTTTGTTCCAAGGTTGGGGGAGCTGTGTGTGATAGAGGAAAACACCAGGAAAAGATTTTTGTTGTTGTTTATTGTGAAGTAGCACTTGTTTCTCTGTTATACTAGTTAGCTGTGTCATCTTATACCATGCCTTGGTGTTAATGATACAAATAAGAGACTAACCCTGGAGTAGTGTTGGTTTTTTTTTCCTTAGAGTAAAGGAGGTCAGATATTTCCTGTGACTTTTCTGAACTTCCTCTCTTTGGTTTTGGAACATTTTCTGGGACATAACAAATGGTAGCAAGATCAAGAGGAAATACGTAACACATCGGTATTACAGTATGGGATTTTTAACTTGGAGACTCTTAGTGTAAGGACTGAAATAAGAGTATGAGTCATTCTTTACTATTTATTATATTATTAGCTGAAAGGGAAATTGAGGAGCATGACATTTATCACTGGCCATCTTCTTTGGGTTTCTCCCTGCCTTATCTTGCATATGTTCCAAACATTTTTAACTCATACCCCAAGCTACACATGAATCTGATCCAGACTATCTTTTCAAGCACCTCACATTGACCTCAGACATTTGGGGGCACATCTGAGTCCTCCTTATCTTTCCTCCACTGAAATTCATCTGGGAGGCAGACAGGTAAACTTCAAAGAGGTTTGGATTCAGAAAGACCTTGGTCTGAATGCAGGTTCTGCCCGTTGCCACATGTGTGGCCTTGGACGAGTTACTTAAATGTCTCTGAGTCACAATTTCCTCAATGTAAGATCAAGGTAATAGCATCTACCCCACAGGCTGCTGTGAGAATAAAGTAAGATAGGGGATGAAAACTGCTCTGTGGCATAGGCATTAATATGTGCCACTTTTTTTCTGACATGTAATGATAACTACAGTTTAAGAAATCCTTAATATATCCTCTGCCTATTTCATATAAATATAACTCTCATTCTTACAACAGACCCTGCAAGGTAACATTGTTTAAAACCCCATTTTACAGATGAGGAAGCCAAGGCTCCTCAGTTTAAGAGATTTGCCCAAGGCAACAGGGTTAAGATCGAAGTGAGCGTGGGCTTAGACCCAGATCTGCCGCTTTTTTTATACTTTAATGCTGTTCTCTGTACTTTCCCAGGTGACCACTTTCTAAGATGTCCTGATACCATTCAGAATCCTTACCACATTTAAGAAACAAAGTACCTTTGTGCAGTGATGGTCTCGATGGCCTATGGTAGGCCTTTTCCCCTTCTGGTCTTTGAAAGTCCACACATGGTGGACTGGAGAGTCTGGAGACCTGGATTCAGTGCAAGCCTGACCTCCTGTATATGATTTTAGACAGTCACGGCAGCTCGCTCATTTTAGAATGCAGAAAATTATAATAATTCTCTGGCAGGATTTTGTGAAGGTAAAATGATGGACTTTTTTTTTAAACAAAACATTTTCTGCTACATGCCAGCCCTGGGCTTGGCGTTGGCATTACAAGATGTATGAACCATTGACTTGGTTCTCAGGTGGCTTACCGTATAGGAAAGGGGATGAAAAGTAAATGAATGTTTATGTTACAATGTGAAGAGTAACAGACCTGTGGAAGGCATACTACATACAGCACTGAGGGAGAGAGCAATGAACCCTCCTACTGATAGTCAAGACAGGCTTTCCATGTACTGTATTGGAGCTAGGTTTTGAACACTGCATCAGATTTACTAGCGTGGAGCTTGTGTTTTTGGAAGATAACTTTTGAGGCCATGTGAACTTTACTCTGTGGGTGAAAACTAGTTTTCTTAACAGATTTTTGAGGTCGATTTTATTTTCCATTTTTATATATTGGAAAACTGAGTTAGAGGTTGATTAAAATATCCTTACGGCCTCACAGTAGTGACCCTAAAAGTGGGAATCTCTGAGTAGCTAAGAGGAGAAGCCCATGCCATGGCAGCCAGGGAAGGTCCTTTGCAGCACATACAACTGTCCCCTCGAGGTACTGTGTATGGGGAAGGCCCATTTTGCCCCTGCACAGAGCTGGCTCTCATAACAGACCGATAATTAGTACCTCAATAATCATTTAATTGTGAAATACATACTCACTCCACATCGCCTGGGCTTTGAAACCAGAACTATGGGGGTTTTGATTAGGGCTCCACCACTTACTAATTGTATAACCACAAGCAAGTTTCTTGGTTTCACTGCTCTGGTTTCTGAAATGGGGATGATCATGCATTCCTCAGTGAGAATATCTGCACATTAGAAAGTATAGGCTAGTTATAGTTTAGTAAAAATGAATCCAAGTCTTAGGATCCTTTCTTGCTATGCTCCTGGTTAGGCAGCCCTCCTGGGTGGCTGTGCTGTTGTGAATAATTAAGGCAAGGACCAGTCTTTTTCCAAGGAGTGTTTTAAAAGTCTTGGAAATTTTGATAGACGAGAAAGATATCTCATTTGTATTTATTTGATGGCTAGTGAAGCAAAACTTTTACATTTATGTTAGTCGTTTGTTTTCCTTCTTCTGTACATTATAGATATTTAAAACTTTTCTGTAATAAAACTTGTTTATATTTTCTTTTATGAGTTCTACCTTTAGTTGGCAGGTATGTTTTTGAGCACAGTGTCTGGTACACTTTTGGTATTTAGCAGTATCTGATGAATTGTATTCAGTTGCCTTTGTATCCAGCACTAAAGGGATCACTGAGTGGACATGTAGACACAAGACACTTATGAGTCATTTCTGCCTTAGCAAAGATCACGGTTTTGCCAGGTTGAGGAGACCTATGAGCACAAAGCATTTAGACAACACGACAGGTGCATGACTAAGCCACTGCTTTCTTCCCTCCCAGTCACCCATCCCCGTATAATATTTACTTAGATGGATGGGAAATTGGATGACTGGTGATACCAAGTTATGAACTTGGTGTCTTCTCCTTTACTTTTCCTCCCCCTGCCCCAGACTTAATTCTTCACCATATTGCATCAATTATATCTAGAAGCATCTCTCAAATCTGCCTATTACTCTCCATTCTTCCTCTCTCTGCCTCGTTCAGGGCCTAGTGTTTGCTCTGTCTTTTGAAGTAGCCTCCCTTTCTTCAGCCTCCCCCAGATCTTGCCCATCCTCCACATCACTCTCATGGTATTGTGCTAAAGTGCAGTACTGATCAAGCCATTTATAGGCTTGAATGCTTGACCTGGCCCCCCAGCCCCTGGGGGATGAACCCAACTGGGGTTCACATTCCCTCACCATCTTGCCCGTGCACACGTACCTGACCTCACCCCTGCTGCTCCCTCACCCATGTCCCTCACCCGGACACTTACCTATACTCATCCCAGGTCTGTAGATGTGGCACTTGCTCGTGGCTCCGTGTCATTGTGGTACAGCAGTGGGATTAACAGCCTTGGCTGTTAAGCTTGGCGACCTGCTTCAGCAGTAAAATCCATCAGCCCCTGCTTCCTCAACTGTGGAATTGGAACAAAAATGGTGCCTACTTCAAGTTATGAGGAACAGATGAGCTAATTCTGTAGAACAGAACCTGACGTATCATAAGGCCTAGATAATCATTAGCAATCCGTTGCTGTTGGCATGCTGTTTTCTCTGCAGGAAATTCCCTCCGCTATCACTTTTCCTCCAGCGACAAAAGTTGTACTCATCTTTCAGCTCCTAGGTCAGTGTCCCATGGACGGCGAAGCCTTCCTGTGCTTCAGCAGTCTTCCCCGTGCTCCCGTGTTCTTAGTTCTCATCTTGTAGCAGCAGCTATTACCCTGTACTGTCAGTTCGCTGTTTGCCTTCCCGACTCTTCTGTCTGGGAACTCATCAAGGGCAGGGGCCTTCAGTAGGTCGATCAGCTAGTGTTTGCTGAGCACGATGAGTGAATACTGCTAAGGGTGCGGGAGTATATGGACAGAGATATGGGTGGCTGCCCAAATGAGTCTTGCAGACAGCAAAAGCCTTGTCTTATTCAACTTGGTATCCATTAAGAACCTGCCTGGCTCTCACTGAAGTGTTACCTAAATATTTGTTGAGTGCCTAAATGCATTAATGTATTCGTTTTTTGTTTTTTGAGATGCCATTTCTAGACATGGGCCTAACCTGT